TAAAAGGTCACTGATACACTCCTCCACCCTAAGACAACTCAGCAGGTTGGCACAAGAGGTTTGTGACACTGACCTGGAGCAGTCTGCGGAGGCTCAGCCCAGAAATAGCACGGGGATCAGACAACTGGTCAAAAAGACGTTACAGGAAACTATCTGCTGGCTAGGGATGCAGCCGGCACTGATGGGCAAACTCTACTGCCCATATGAAGTTCTGGGTCACAGTTCCAGGGTGTGGAGGGCCACTGGGTGGTCAGTCACCCCCAAGCAAGGACAAGAGGAATGCAGGAGAACAGAAGCCCTGGCCACAGTTCCAAGCGAGGATGAGTACTAGCGCTTATAGCTGCAGGGGATTAGGGGTCCAGAGCACAGACCAGGAAAGCAGTAACCACACCCCTCCCAGGATCATATCCCCTTGGAAGCACTGAAAACTTGCAAACTTCTGGAACTATCTTTGAAAACAGAAGCATGAAAAATCCTGAAGCTTGGGACAGTGCCTCCCCAACCCCCAGTGAGCAGAGCCCAACTTTAACATAAAGGTCAAAGTTAACAAGTAGCCTGGAAAAATGAGGAAACAACAACAAAAAAAGGACTTGACCATTAAAAGCTACTAAACTGGCAGAGAAGACCGAGACACAAACTCAGAATTCAATAATATGAAAAAGCTATGACCAAAGCCCTAAAGCAAAATGCTGAGAGGAGACAAACCCAACAAGAATTCTTGGAACAGTTTGAGAAGAGATAAGAGTGGCATAGAAAAAATTGGGAAAAGGAATGGGAGTGGTGCAAGAAAATCATGAAAACAGAATTAGCAGCTTGGTAAAAGAGCACTCACCCCCCCCCCAAAAACTGAAGAAAATTACACCTGAAAAAAACAGAACTGGCCAAACAGTAAAAGCACAAAAATCCACTGAAGAGTAGAATTCCTTAAAAAGTAGAGCTGGCCAAATGGAAAAGGAGGTACAAAAATTCACGTGGGAAAATAATCCTTAAAAATCAGAATTGGGCATATGGAAGCTAGTGACTCCATGAGACATCAAGAAACAATAAAACAAAGTGAAAAAATAAATTGAACAAAATGTGAAATGCCTCATTGAAAAAAAACAATTCACCTGGAAAACAGATCCAGAAGAAATAATTTAAGAATTACTGAACTACCTGAAAGTCTTGATCAAAAAAATAGCCTAGACATCATATTTCATGAAATTATAAAGAAAAATTGTCCCAATATCTTAGATCCAGAGGGTAAAATAGAAACTGAAAGAATCCACGGATCACTTCCTGTAAGAGTTCCTAAAATAAAAACTTCCAGAAATATTATAGCCAAATTTCAGAGAATAACTGATTAACAATACAAGTACATAGAACTGAAAGACAGCCTGGAAGAACAGAAGCAAAAATCAATAATGTTAAAAAGAAAGAACGCTGTGTTGACAAAGCTGATAAAAATGGCAATATTACTATATTATATCTATCTATCTATCTATCTATCATACAATATTGGAAGAATTGTAGGAAGAGAGGCATGCTGAGGCATTGTTGGTGGAGCTGTGAACTGATACAACTACTCTGGAAAGCAATTTGGAATTATGCAAATAAAGCGGCCAAAATATTTCATAACCTTTGACCCAGAGAGTCCATTAATAAGAAAAATGTTCCCTATATACATCTACATTTTTATAGGAGCACTTTTTGTGATAAGCAAAGATACGGAATAACAGAAGCAGTGGAAGTATAGTCACATATCACAGGTCAAGGAGAAACTATTGTAAGGGGCCAGAAAGAAACAATTCAAATATTGTGGATCCACAATAGACAATGTATTTCACATAAGGATCACATGAGATTTGGCAACTTCCACATTAAAAGAGCAGAGGATTTAGAATATGATATGCTGGAAGGTAAAGGAGGTAGGATTACAATCAAGAATTACCTACCCAAAATAACTGAATATAATCCTTCAAGGGAGAGAACTGACATTTAATAAAAGAGAGGACTTTCGAGCATTCCTGATGAAAAGATCAGAGCTGAACAGAAAATCTGACTTCCAAATACAAGACTCACAAGAAGGACCAAAAGATAAACATGAAAGAGCAATCACAAGCGACTCAATATAATTGAACTGTCTAATTTCCTAAATGGGAAGATGATACACATGGCTCCTGAGAACTTATTAGGGCAATCAGGAAGTTAGACAGAGAGCATGAGAGTTAGCCGATTATGGTGGGATAATCTGAAAAAAAAAAACAAAAAAAACACGAATGGGTATGAAAGAGGGATGCACTGGGAGAAAGGTGGAGGGAGATGTAGAATAGGGAAATTTTTCTCAAATAAAAGAGGGGTGCAAGGAAGAGCTTTCACAGTAGAGGGGGAAATGGTAGAGGTGGCAGGCAATATTTAAACCTCACTGTCATTGGAACTGGTTCAAAGAGGGAAGAATATACACACTCAACTGGTTATAGAAATCTATCTTAACCAATGAGGAAACAGGAGGGGAAGGGAATAAGAGATATGGGCTGGGGAAGGGGGAGAAAGATAAAAGGGAATGTGGACTGAGGGAGGCAGTGTCAGAAGCAAAACAGACTTGAGTAGAGAAAGGATAAGAAGAGGGAGAAAAGGATAAACAGAAGAAAATAGGATGGAGGGAAAAATACAGTAATCATAACTATGAATGTGAATGGGATGAACTTACCCACAAAATGGAAAGGGATAGGAGAATGTATTAGAAATGAGAATCCAACAATATGTTGTTTACAAGAAACACACTTGAAACAGAAAGAAATACACAAAGTTAAAATAAAGGGCTGGAGCAGAATTCATTATGCTTTAGCAGAATTAAAAAACAGGGATAACAATTATGATCTCAGACAAAGCAAAAGAAAAAAAAAGACCTAATTAAAAGAGATAATCAGGAAAACTACACTTGGCTGAAAGATACCACAGGCAATAAAATAATAACAAATTTTTTTTACAGCAAGTTTCTTTGATATAGGGCTCATTTCACAAATATATAGGGAATTGAATCAAATTTTAAAAAACAAAAGCAATTCCCCAATTGATAGTCAAAGGATATGAATGGGCAGTTTTCAGAAGAAATCAAAGCTATCTACAATCATGTGAAAAAAATGCTCCAAATCATTGTTCATTAGAGAAACGCAAATTATAACAACTCTGAGGTACCATCTCACATCTATTAGAAATAATAAACGCTGGAGTGGATGAGGAAAAATAATATACTGTTAAAGTCAGCTAAGAGGCAAAGTAAATAGAGCGCTGGCCCTGGAATTGGGAGGATCTAAGTGCAAAGCCAACTTCAGACGCTCACCAGCTGGGTGATACCGGGCAAGTCACGTCAGCCTATTTGCCTCAGCTGCCTCCTCTGTAAATGAGTTAGAGGAGGAAACGGCCAACTATTCTAGGATCTTTGCCAAGAAAACTCTAAATGGGGTCAGACACAACTGAAACAACTGAACAACAACAAATAAGAAATGGGGGGGGGGTGTTTCCAAAAACACAAAACGAAACATGGTAAAGACCTATTACGGACTGATGCAAAATGAGGTGAGAAGACCCAGGAGAGCATGGTGCACAGTAACAGCAATGCTGTGATGACAATCAATTGTGAAAGACTTGGCAATTCTGATCAATACAACGATCTAAGACAATTTCAAAGGACTAATGATAAGAAAAATCTATCCACCTCCAGAGAGAGACCTGAAAAATGCTGAGGACAAACTGAAGTAGAATTTTCTCACCTTTGTTTCCTCTTTTTTTTGGGGGGGGGAGGGGGGTGATTTGGCCAATATGGAAACATGTCTTGCATGATTTCACATGTATCATTAATATAATTTTGCTTGCCTTCAAAGTGGGTGGCATAAGGGGGGTAGGAAGGAGAGAATTTGGAACTCAAAATTTAAAAGGAAAAGCATGTTTAAAATAAATAATAAATTTGGATTAAAAAAAGGGGAAGTGCTGGCCTTCCCAAGGAGAAAGGCTGTTTCTTCATCAGAGGCCTTATGCAAGAGACCAGGGGCTGATGTTAAGGGGTTCTGAGATCCAGAGAACTGAAGAGGGCAGAGCTAACTGCAAAGGATTTCTATTTTCTCAGCAAAGTGGGACACGAAGTCTTCTGCTGAGAGGGCAGAAGAAAGCGGCAGTGTGGGAAGCTTAGGGAGACGGCACAAGGTCTGGAATAGCCACTGGGGGATGTGATAGTGAACCAAAGGAGAAGAGTCAAAGTATTTAGAGACATCCTAGATCAGGAACAATTCAAAGAGAGATGATCTGTACCTAAGGATCCCTAGAGGACACATACTGACTTAGTTGTACAATGTAATATTCATTATGTTCTACTGCGTTTTTATGAATTTTGTAAAATCTTTCCCAATTACAATTTAATCTAATTCAAGCCACACTTGGGAGTGTTGTAGGCCACATGTTTGAGGCTTCTGTTCTTGATGGTATATTAGGCAACCAATTTGTTGTGAATCTAATCAGCAGGGTCTTATGACTTCCCCTAGTACTGGTGTTTGCCAAGAAACAAGCAACATCAGGACAAGGGGGTGAGGGATTCCAGAGCAGAGAATGATAGAACACTGAAGTGACTAACTCTAGGCTTCCGACTGGGAAGGAAGTAAAGTGAAGTCATCAGAGCAGGGGTGAAAGCCTGGGAGAGTATGGAGGAGTGGAGGAGCTCTAGCTAGCAGGGGATGAAAGATGGGTACAGGAGGGTTGAGGGTGGTGACTCCTCGCCACACCATGGTGTTGGAGGCGCAGTGGGGGAGGAGGCTATGGGATCTGGGTGTTGGAAGTTGAAATTCCCTGTGTCAAGATCAGGGAATGGAGTGAGGAGGATGACTGAGCCCAGTACTGAACTCTCTGGGAAAGGAGGGGAGAGAACACCACGGGGGCTGGGAGGTTGCAGCGCTGAGCAACGGTAAGCAACTACAGGGCGCTCGGTGGCACCCTGCAGGAGCGAGCTGCCAGCGCCTCTTTGTCCTTACCTTCACAGTTTCCAAGTCTCCTGCTTTGGATGCCTCTAGGAGCCGGTAGTCAACATCTGACGTGCGCACAGGTGTACTTTCTGTAAAACAGATGGGGACAAGCTTGAGACAAGGAAAACCGAGAGAAGAAGGGCCGCGGAGGGTGCCAGAGACACAGACATTCTAGCCCCCTGTTTGGTAAGTCCCAACACCTATGGTGACCTTGAGAGTGGCCACGGTCCGGGCCTGAGCAGGGCCTTGTTTTCCCACCAGACCACAGACACCATTCCCTTCTCTATGATCTCACCTCTGCTCTCAGCTCTCCAGGATGTGGCCTCGTGACCGGTCAAGGTTATACTTGGAACACACTGTTTGGACAAGAACGTCTTAACAGAAGCCTTGAACGATCTGTCACTCAACCTTGGAGACGTTTTTCACATTTCCTAGTGATTTATTGTATAACTCCTCCAGCATTTGTTTTTAAATTATCCAATGATAACACAGAGAAATTACTGCTAACCATAGCCCATGATGGGCCGGCAGTGTTCGGTGCCAAGGAGAGAAATGCAGAAGTGAGATGGTCTCTGCCCTCAAGGTGCTCATGTAGTACTGGAAGACAGATGCCTGTTCACAGGTAAGTAAATACAGAGTGTATTTTTAAGAATTAATCAGCAACAATTGGAGGGGGGATGAGGGCACTATGATATGAGAGGATTCGGGGAGATAGTTTGAAGGAGCTGGCGCTGGAGGGGATTCCCAGAAGTTGAGAGGAAGAGGAAGGGCAGGCCTCTGGCGCTGAGGCACAGGGAGGCAGGAGGTGGAGCATCATGTCTGGGAAGGAGGAAGAAGGCCCATTTGGTCAGGGTTGGGAATGTAGGAAGGGGAGTCAGATGTGATCCTCCTGGAAAGACAGTCTAGCACTCAAGCCGACAAGAACACTGCTGCTGACCGTCCAGATGAGAGTGGTGAGGGCCTGCGTTTGGATTAAGAGATGCTGAGGAGAGGAGACTGACAAAGCTAGGTAGCCATCTCAAATACGGGGCACATGAGTATAAGACAGACAGAGCTGGAGAGCCTGAAGAACTGAGAATTCTCACAGGACATTAGTCTGGGCACGTCTAGGTAAATGGGGCTGAACTCCACAGGAACGGGCAAGTGTGGAGAAGGGGTGGCTCTTAGAGGAAAGACACCCAGGTCTGTTTTAGATACTCTTGGTAGAGATGCCAGCCAGGCTGGCAGCTGGAGGGGCAGGCTGCAGAGGGCTATGCATCTAGAGCCTGGAGGGACATACCTCTATCCACACAGGTGTGGACCACAGATGGCAGATGAAGTGGCAATGGTGCTTCTAAGGATGGCTCCCACAAGTAAGAACTGCACAACGCCAGAGTCTGATTAACCTCCGGGAGGAGAGAGTACCCAGAGGGGACGGGTAACAGTCCATCATCAAGCATTTCTTAATCACCCACACCATACACCCGAGGCACAACCGTGAAAACAGTTCAAGGAGCCTACCGTCCACACGTCTACCCATGAGTACACACTAAATAAACACGAGCTAATTTTGATGAGCCTGGGAACAGCCTCCCAGAGAGCAGCGTCACGAGGCAGAAGGGACATGGAGTGTCACGCAGAGGCAGCAGTGAGCAGGCCTGTCTTACTTTACACCCCGCAAATGCGTGATGAGGAATGATGGTAAAAAGGCTGGCAGGGGCCTGGCAGTGCACCAAAAGGGTTTTGTATCGCATCTGGGGCTCGGCAGTGGCCTCAGGGCCTGCCTATCATCCTCATTCAAAGACACTGTCACGACCCGCTGCTAGTTTCCTGTGTTCTCAGGAAGGATGCAGCTCTAGAATCCTCTTCCTTCTCCCTTCTGCCTTGTAGAATGCCTGGCTCCCTCTTGAGGAAGACGCTGCTGGGGCCAATGTGGCTCGTCTGTTTGCACCGTGTATGCAGCTCTCAGTGAAGCTGTTACCTCCCCCATCAGAACGTAGGCCATAGGGCGCACATATACCCAGTGAAGAGTAAGTGTCTGCTGACTGATTCTTCCTAAAAGTAGTAGGGAGCCACAGAAGATTGCTGAGCAGGTCTGTGACATGGTCAGACCAGAGCTTTAGAAAAATCCCTTTCATACTTTTATTAGGGGATTGATACAATAATAGTTATAGTGGTGCCACAGGCAGAACAGGAGGTGGCTTTAGGGAGATAGAATGAGTTGAGTTAAAAATGCCTATGGGACATCCAGTTTGAAATGTCTAATAAGTGGTTGGTGATGCAAGACTAGGGCTAGACATATAGACACAGAGAGTGACATTCATAAAGGTAATTAGACCCATGTGAACTGGTTAAGTCATCAAGAGAGGAAAATACCAAGTACTGGGGGGGTGCTCACAATTAGAAGCATGGTACGAATGATGATCCAACAGAGGTTGAGGGATGGTCAGACAGGAAGAAGACAAGTAGGAGACAGTGGTGTCAGATGCCGAGAAAGGATGTGAGTCTCCAGAAGGAAAAGGTGGGTTGGGTGGGGGTCAACAGTCTGGCAATCAAGAGATGACTGACAACTCTAAAGAGAGAAGCTTCAGGTGAGTGGTGAGGTCTGAAGGACAAATGCAGAGGGCTGAGAGGTGACAGAAGTGGAGGTGACCAAAGACACAGCTTTCTCTAAGGGCGTGGCTGTGGAGAGAGGGAGGTGAGGTACAAAGCAACAGGCTGGGAGGAGGTCAGGACCCAGGGAAAGTCTCCAAAAGGTGGCCGACACTCGGGCATGGTTTCAGAGAGCAGAGCAGAGGTGAGCAGAACAGAATAGAGATGGAGGGTGGCTGGTGAGATGGGCCCTCCACCAGTGCTCTGAGCAAAGGAATAACGAAGAGGGGACAACTTCACGGAACGTGGAGGTGGAGAGAAGCGGAGGATTCACAGGGGACACCTTTTTTCTAAGGGGAGGGAGGAGGAGAGAGCCACAGAGAAGGGCGGCGTGTGACCATCCATGAGGGAGGGAGGGAGGAACAAAAGGATTCCCTTCTAGCAGTGATGAGCAAAATGGCAGCACAAGCTGGCAATGTCTGAATGGAAACAGAGAGCGCCATCTGTGTCATCTGAATGCTTAGGATACCCCGAGGGTGAGGCTCCGGGTGTCCCATCCCTAGGATAATACTTGTTAGAGCAGCCAACCACACAAACGGAGACTTCAATACCTCCAGGATCCCTGCTCCTTTCACCTTTGCACATCTAAGAAGAGGGGACGCATATGAGTCAGCACGTGCACATAAACACACGTTAAACTTCTAGCGTTCTCTAATGGTGCAGGCTACGCCGGTCATGTGGCTCTGACTTCTCAAGTCTGTGGGTAACTTTGGATATGGAGATACGTTCAGTTGACAGCCAAGGGTATTTGATCAGATAGTTCTATGTAGAACTACCAATGTTTCTGAAACACACCCCACGTGCTGATCTACTAGACTGAGATGATGAAATCTGGTTTTAGCTACACCTGGGAAAAAGGAAGACACAGAATGGTAGCTTCCTATCTCTAAGACTGCAAGGATGACCTTGTTCTGATCCCATCCTCACTAATGCACAAGATCTCTGCTGTCTTGTTTTCATGTTAATATTGAGAGGGAAAGGTACACAGACATCACTGTGCATATGTATGTACCTACCAAAACAGATGTGTAGCTAAGGCATGTTGGAGAGCTGGGGGTGGGGTGGTTCTGAGCATGACAATGATTCCCACCAATTTCTTCACTACTTTAAGATAGTGCCACATGGCGGCTCCAGTATGGGCCTCAAGGTCAGGAAGACCTCTACAGATGCAAATGACAACTTCTCTTCAATTCAGCACAGGGTCTTTCAGAGTTGTGGTGGTGTAAAAATTTAATTTTTAAACTAAAAATTTGGTAATGAGTCTCCCTTCCCACTCACAAAATATTTCTGCTAAGATTTTCTTTACTGGTTTTAATGGGAATACTTCTATTGTTTCTCCACTGATGGTTTCAAACATATTATTTTGTATCACCTTGTAGAATATTCCCACATTAACTTTTCTTTGAACTGAAGATGTACTGTTTACTTCCCTGGTATTAAAGATGGCAATAAAGAGAAATGGAAAGCCAAATTAAAGTGGGAGACACTTATGGCCCCCATTATCATCCAACAGCATCAATGTGGTGGACATCGGCAGCACAAATGGGGGGGGAAGGGAGAGCTAAAAAGGTCTCCTGGGACTCACCACTTAGAATCTGCTGCACGGCTTCGTTTCCCATCTGGGCAGCTGTAAAACCTTGTAGGGAGATGATGGAGGGGTCAGACCCATAACTCAGCAGGAGGCGGCAAGTCTGCAAGTGGCCTGCCAAGGCCGCTCTGTGCAAAGCCGTCTGACCAAGTGTGTCCAGTGCATTCATCTGGAAAAGCATTAAAATAAAGCATCTCATGTTCTCTCCTTTCTATTTTCTTCTCAAAGGGCCTTTTATTAGAAAAGAAATAACAAAAGCTCCTTGAAAACCACCCCAGAAATAATTTCACAAACAACTACAGTTCTAGTGTCCAGACCAAAGAAAATGGAATTAATTAATCTTTTACCACCTGGAAGCACTTGATATTTCTAGGATTATTGTTCATTATGAGAGAATCATAAGGAACAATCATAATGCTTTCCAAAATCATTTAAAAAAAAAATAAAAGTACAACCAACTGAACTGAGAATGACTAAATATTCCTTAACAATTCCATGATTCATCATCTGAAGAACTGTCCAAGAGAGAACTACTGAGCTGGTTTGAAGACAGTGTTTAGCATCTGAGCCATTCGCATACTGATTTACTCTGTGGAGAACAGATGCAGAAGAGCAGCCGTCTAAGCATGCCGCCTCATCCCTCCCTTTATTTATTTATTCCCAGCCGCCCACCGACTTGTGGAGCTTTTCCCCACTCCCTTTCTCAAAAAGATTCATTCTAAGGGCCAGGCTTGGGCCCGCCTTCTCTCTTCCACACAAAGACTTGGGAGACGGTGAGTGCCGAGACAAGGTGATGCTTCACCAGCCTGGGAGGAATGGCCGGCACTGTGGACTCGGAGATGAGGAAACTTTCCAAAGGGCGTGGAAGTGGATTCCTGCATCAATTCCAGAAGCTACTCACTAGGAAGGCAGTGTGGTTCAGAGGGAAGCCGAGATCTCGGGATCCCAGTCTTGGAGCTGCCAGGGCCTTGCTAGGTACCAACAAGTCATCACTGAGCTCTGGCTGAAGGCTGGTGGGCAGCCTGAATGCTCAGGAAGCCTTTCCTGGCATCAAATGCGAGTCGGCCCCTGTGAAGTCTGCAAGCTGACCCTGGGGGGCTGGGCATAGCGGCGGCTGCTTCTTCTTCCAGGGACACCTCCATAATTCCTTCAACAGGTCTCCATGCTGACATCATTATCATCTCAAGAGACTCCTAGAATTCCCTACTGCCTCCAGGATCAAGCACAAAGTCTTCTGTTGAGTTTTTAAAGCCTTTCCCATCCTGGCTTTCTGGCTTCCCCTTCCCACACACACACACACACACACACACACACAGAGAAGGCTTCCACCTCTCGCCTCTTTGCCTTTGTTCTTAGCTGTCCCCCACGCCTGGAAGGCTGTCCTTTTCCTCTCTGAAGACTCAGTTCAAGCAACAGCTACTACGTGGGTATGCTTTCCCATGGGCTACAGTGTTGTGGGATTCGTGCGCTGTGGCGCACTGGACAAGAAGCAGGCGGGACAGCAGGCTAGCCTGGGAGTGAGGAACATGTGGATTCCAGTTCTGTTTCAGATGCCAACGGCTCTGGGACCAGAGTCAAAGGGAAGGCCCCTAATCTGCGGGTGACACAAGAAATGCTTCAAGAGGACAGGCTAAAAATGAGTAGCTGATTCAGGTAGTGAAGGATACACCAGGAGGACCCCAAACACATGAAATCACACGTCTGGGTATGTCACAGAACCCCCCCTCACCCCCACCCCCACCCCAAGGGGAAAAGATACTGAATTTTTGAGCGGCCAATAACGCTGCTGACTGATACTGAGCTCAGAGTTTGTGAAGAGTCTCAGGTCTTTTGAAAAAGAATTGCTTATCTGCCACGTGGAACTTGTCAACGCATTTCAATAAACACTTATTAATGCTCCTTATGTACCAGGTGCTGTGCTAAGTAAGTACTGGAGATACAGGTAAGAATAAGAAAGACTAGACAGTCCCTGCCCTCAAGGGGCTTACAACCACACAAAATGCTCTACATATAGGCACATTAAACCGAACATGATCACATCAGGTTCATCTTTTCAGACGGTCAAGATCCTCCAAAAAGAAAACTGTCCTTCAGGGTGCTCGTTATCTTCTCCCACGCAGGTCCCCTGATAGGCAGAGTGCCTGGCACACAGTAGGCACCCAATAAATGCTTATTCCCTTCCTCTTTCCTCTACTGTGTAAAACCTCTCATTAATGTTAGAGGGTAGGGAAAAGGTAGTCACTTGATTAAGAACACAGCAGGGTAAAATCCCTAATGAGATTCCATATGCTAACCTTACCCACTCAATATGCATTTGCTGGTTGATATTTTAGGAAAATGCACCTCTTCTGACAGAGCTTGGGAGACTCGCAGCATTGGGATTCCCACTGTCCAGTTTACTGTGGTAGTCCTGCGGGCTCTAATACAGCCAAGGTCGTTTTGCTTTGTTTCCTCAGCCCGGGACAAAAGAACAGGTTCCAGGAGTCCGTGTCCTGCTTGACTTGGAAGCTTGGAGGACAAGCCTAGCTGCGGACTTGTTCAACGAGGCCCCGGCTGCTGCTCAGCCTCCTTCGGTCATTTCTACTGTTTTTACAGAGTCCTTTCACTTCTTTCTCAAAAGGACCTTGAGGGCAGTCAGTCCCCTGGGCATGGCAGGTTCAGGTGCCTGCCTGCCAGCATGTACTGGTAAGGACCATCCAGCACCCCTGCAGAGAGGATATTCTGAATCCATAAGAACAGCACGGAACGCAGCTCACACTCCAGCAGGGCCCACAGAGGGGGAACAACCTGGGCACATGCCCAGAGAAGGACTGAATGCTTACGATGGTCACTGCCAAAGGGGCGCCTGCTAGGTCAGGCCTTTGCTTGGGGACAGCAGCTTGTGCAGGTAGAAATCGGTCAAGGGAATTCCCACCCCCAGAATCCTGCAGACACGACTATGGTCCCCATGTGCATAGTGCACCTCACCTTGGCTCCGTGCTTGTGCAGAACCTCGATGACATCGTTGTGAGCTCTTTCAGCTGCGACATGCAGTGGAGTCATGAAGCTGGATGGGGAATGGAAGAGTAAAACGTCACCACGAGTAAAGTGGGGGCCTGGCTCTTAAGGGCTGAAAAACACAGTGAACGGTGAAGTCAACCTACTCTTTGTTCTTCTCATTCACATTCGCTCCTTTCCGCAGTAAGAGCTCTGTCACTTGCTTACGCTTGGGGTGTAAGGAGGCCACAGCACAGTGCTGGAAGACAAAAGCAAAGGGGGATCGAGGTTAATGCTCATCTTTCTTTTGAAGACCTGGACCTCACTGTTCTCCGTCCCTAGCTAAAGCCTCAGCCATATTCCAGATGCCACAGTAAACGTCATCGGAATGCCTTAGAGGTGAACGTAAAACTAAGACACAAAGACATCAGAGCTAAAAGGGAGATCTGGGCTAGGCTGGGCTGATATATGTGCTTTCTCCAGTTTACAGAGGAAGCAGCTATACAAAAATGAGGTTAACTCAGGAGAAGAAATTGTGTAGCTAACTGTCACAGGCTCAGGGGTTCACAGATTTAGAGCTGGAAGGAACCTCAGAGGCCTTCCATTCCAGCCTTCTTGCTTCTCATTATGAGGAAGCTGAGGGCCAGAGAGGCTGGAGGGCCTGGCCAGGGCCCAGGCAGTGGGGGTCAGCGGCAGCAGGACTGAAGGCCAGGCTCTGTGATTCCAAGTCCACAGATGACTTCCAGGATCTCAAGCTAGCTACTCCTTCCAGAGGAGCAATCATGACGACACCGAAGACCTGTTTAGAGCAGGCCCGACACTCCTTGGCTGTGACACAACGGCTGACGTCTGTTCTGTTGAGGCCATCTTGAGAGGCTGAAATGCCCCCTCTGCTCCCAGGCCAGACAGCAAGTGCTGCCCAGCCCCGCAGGGAAGGGGAATGCAAGCCTCGTCAGCGTCGGGCTTCGTCACCACCTCTTGGGTGGGCTTTATCAGGAGCTGTGTACTGGAAGGCTTCCATCAATTGACTGGGGCTTGATACAGCTTGTCAACCTTCTTCTCCACTTGTGGGACTGATTGATTATTAAAGAGATTACACATGAGCTTCCACAAAGCTTCTGAAGACGAGGTCGGAAACATATTTTGTGAGTGAATGGAAAGAAAACTAACACCAATAGTCACTGAAACTGAAATGGAATTAATTTACTCAGATTAAAAGAAACAGCCTGATATCTACTGTCTAAGTAATCTAACTGGCTAATTCAAAAATTCACATGGATCCTCCACATAAATCAAGCCTTTTCTGCATGTTTATGAAAACACTACACTTATTATAAAACAAAAAGCTAAAATGAGCTCGGACCCAGAGCCGGGGAAAGTGTCCCAAAGGCGAAGCTTGGTGACTGCTCTGGACACAGCATTCTTTTAATTTCTGGGAAGAGGCCCAACAAGGTCAGTCGTCTTCCTAACCTACATATCTGCTCTTGAAAAGAAGCTGAGCGAGGTGCCAAGCTGCAGACTTGAAGCTACCTCTGTGACAGTCCAGCCTGACATACATCAAAGGAGTGAAGTAGCCGGAAGCACTCACCAGAGCTGTCTCGTGAGACTGGGGCTGCTTGAAATTGATGACCTCCAAAGCGAGTGTCTTTTTGACTTTGGCCAGGTCTCCTTCTCTGGCTGCTTGGAGTAAAGAGTGACCTTTAAATTCATCTGTTAACAAAACAAAGGTTCACAAAAAGCAAGGTTAAAGCCAAGCAAATGAGATGGCTGATCACTGCTGAAATTAAATAGGAGAAATGGACCAACACCACCCCCTCTTTGTGTCAGTCATAGTGCTATGAGGGTTATGAGTGGAGGGGTGATGGAACGTGGGTACAAAGAATGAAACAATCCTGACTCCTAAAAAGCTGTTTACATTCTAAGAGGGAATGGGATTGAGGTGCGGAGACACAGGGACTAAGTGATCACTTTCAATGAAACGTGAATATTCTAACTTGAGAGGTATTGGGCAATTCCATAAAACTGATCATTTCCAAAATCATTTAAGGCTTCCACAGAATAGGATATTTATGTAGCAGAAGCAAAAACCATTTTATGTATGTATGTATGTATGTATGTATGTATGTATGTGTGTATGTATGTGTACACACACATATATACGTACACGTGTATGTGTATACACGCACACACACGTGCGCGTGTGCACACATTTTGTAAAATTGGAGAATACACTGAGCCCGCCCCACAGCTGACCAGCTACTCCCCATGTAGTGCATGTGAAAAGTGGTCACTCAGCTTCAAGGGCACTTCTTCTGTCTCAGGTTCCAATTCTTAGGAAGTTTATCCTAAATTAGCCTCTTTTGTTTCACAGATTTGGCACTGCGAGCACAGGGAGTAAGTGGCAGGGACAGGACTTGAAGCCATGGCCTCTGGCTCTAGCAGGCCCCGGCCATGACAGCTTCCCTGCTGAACACCTGCCAGCCAAGGCCCCCTCCAACAGCATCTCAGACACTGCAGGTAAAGCTCCACAGGAATGTCAGCAGTCATTCCCAGGAGGGGGACTACAAGAGGTCAGTCAATCATGAGGCCTGCAGCCTCTCCTTTCCCATGGCTTTGTTCTCAGGCTCCCTGAAATCTTCCTCCTCATCACACTGCCACCGCTCTACTCCAGGCTCTCAGCAGCTCTCCCTCACTTGGACCACAGCCGCCTGACTGCCCTCTCCCCACACCAATCCAAAGCCGCCCACGTGTTTTCCCTAAAGCTCAGGTCTGACCACGGCCCTCCCTTCCTCAAAAAGCTCCAGGGGTTTCCCCTGGTGTCCTTGGCCTGAACACATACTTCTCTACTTGACCTTCTGAGCCACAGCTGACCTTTTCAGGATGATTTACACACTACTGTTTCATCTATTGTGTTACAAGCAAATGTGTCTAGTTCTTATTCTTCATCTCTCACTGCCACACCTTTGCCCAGGCTCTCCCTCATGCCTGGTTCTCCTAATTTCATAAACATCCACGGCACAAGGAGGGCAGAGCAGGCCCACGTGGACACTTTGTAGCTCCAGGGCCCGGCGCCCAAATGCTTAGCAAATGGTTGGCTGCCTGGTCTCTTGCTTCATGCTGCAGTGACTACTACCTCACACTGAAGTGTTCCTTGCCTGTTTCAATGCAAATGTTTGTGTGGAGAAAAGCTACCAGTAACAATCATAGGCTCACTGATGGAAAGAAAGGGCCTGAGAGGCCATCAATTCCAAGCCTCTTATTTTACAGATGAGAAACTGAGGCAGACCAAGGTGAAATGACTTGTCCCAGGTCACAGAGCCCTACTACATGTCTGAGGCTGGATATGAAGCCAGGTCTCCCCGACTTCCAGCCCAGCCCTCTAACCACCACCATTCTGGCTCGTGGAGGAACAGTGACCCAATCACCACGGGTCACAATGCTGGCACCGCAAGTGCCTCCCCCTGGCTAAGTAAGGGCTAGGATTCCCAAGGGCCGTCCCAGGACAAGCAGCTGGGGCAGGCCTGGTGAGAGCCCCAGTCAGAGGCCAGGCCTCTTAGTCACAGCCATGGGCCTGGGCTGATGCCGGGGGAAGCAAGAGTAAGTGAGAGTGAGTGAGGTACCACACACCAGGGAGGACGGACACAGAACAAGTAGAATGAGGCATTTCAAACTGGTGAGACCGAGGAGCCTTAATCAGTTCTAGGACCTGAGGGGACTGGGGCCGCAACGGGAGCCCACCTGTGGAACTGGCCTTTGCTCCAGTGGGACACAGAAAAGCTTTCTGTGTTGGGCCTTCCTTTGACAGGGGCTCAGGGGCTTGGAGCCTCTCTGAGGCTCTGTCCTCTAGGGGGCTGGAGAGGCACCTGAATTCCTTACAGAGCCAAAATAGCTTTTGGGTTTTTTCACTGACAGAAATAATTTCACAAAGTGTCACTGTAATTGACAAAGTCTTTCTGCCATTTTGCTTTTTTTGGGGAAAAAAAGTCACTATCTGGAAACTAAACTGACCATGAGATTTGCAACGAATTAAGATCGCAGACACACATAAGGCAATTTATACATCTCAGAAGCAACTGTGTCCTGCTGAAAGAAGTTTGACCACTAACATTTAATGCTAATTCCATGCTATCACAAATACATGTCAAACTCTGCAGCAACTGATGCAGAGGAAGGCTTTGACAGAGCACAATGCTCTTTTGTTCTGAAAAACCTACAAAGTTTAGGCACGTTAACATTTTTGTTTTGAAATACAATAAAGGGTGTTATCTCTAAAACCAAAATCTAGCCTTACATGCAGTATGAAAATAACAGAAACCTTCACAATACAGATAAGAATAAAGCAAGGATGTCACCTTTTCCTTCTGTTATTTGATGAAGTTCTAGAAATACCAGCAATAATATAAGAAAAAGAAATTAAAGTTATGAAAATAGGCAAAAAGACAAAGCTATCCCTATTTATTGGGGACATGATGTTTTATTTCAAAAATTCTGAAGAAAAAGTAAGAAAAAACACTCTAATTGCAACAACAGTTTCAGTAAAACAGCACGACACAAAATATACCCTGAAAAATCAGGAGCATTCCTATATGTAATAAAACAAAACCCCGCAGAGAATAACATAAAGGAGTCCCACTCAAAATAACGACAAAATTCATGAGACATCTAGGAGTTAAGTGATCAAGGCACATTTGAGGCCTGTATAAATCCACTTACAAAAGCATTGCTTTAAGAACAAAGAATGTCTTTAAATGACTGGAAGTCTGGTGCTCAAGGATGGGTCATACCAACATAAAAAATAAAATGCTACTGTATCAATTTTCGGACTTAATGTTGTAACAATCAAACTACAAAGTAAATACTTTACAAAATTAAAGAAAACAGTTAACAAAGCTTGCATGAAGGAACGAAAGCCTGGAGTAACAACAGAAACAAAGGGGGACCAGATCTAGTAATTGTTAGAACGCTCTGATATTGATTAAAAAATAGATCAGTGGAACGGGCTGGGCAAGGAAAGATCAGAAATAACTTAATAACTCAGGGCATAACCCTCAAAATATACATTATCTGGCAAAAATTAGGGTTAAAGCAGAGTTAAGAGATTCTGCTTTTTTGTGTGCCAGACTTCTTTGTCAATCTGGTGCACCTTGGGGACCCAGTTCATAACTAAAGGAAATGCTACATGTTTCAGACAGAAGTTCACAAAAATAAAGTTAAACGTAAAAACAAAAACACAACTTTTTTTCCCCCATCCAGAGTCAAGGACCCTCTGAAAGTTATCCGCTGGAGTCCACAGCCTGCCAGGTAAATACGCTTGGTTTAGAATTGGCATCACACAGCACATACCATATCGTACAGGGAGAACATGGTGGTGGTGGTGGTGGGGGGGATGGAGAGTCTAAGAGTGGTGCTAAATTTGTAGCATTAGAAAAATGGATGATATTTAGGAGTCTCTGTGCTCAGTTACACCTATGTACTATTCCAAAATGCTACCATATAAATTCACTTAATCAGTATGATCTGAATAAACATCTCTCATTCCACTTATATTTTGCTTCATGAATGTCAGGCTGAGTTGCGCAGAGACAAAAGTAAACAGTCAAGATTAAAAGTGACTTGAATCTTCCTAAAAATCACCAGCTCAAGGCGCAACACTTGTGCAAAATCAAGCCCAGAAAGCGTGGATTCCAAATGTTCCCCTTTCAGAGGTGCTCCCAAACTCTCCTTGCAGGCACGAGTGGTAATCAGCATGAACAAAAACTCATGATAAGAAGTACAAACCACCAGACAGGTCAGGAGACAGACACCCAGAGGGCAGCGAGGCACGTGAGGTGCCAAGCCCTGCCCTCACCCCAAACCCTGACTCAGAGGACCGAGATACGTACACGTCAGCCTCTCCCGCAGCTCCGGCGTGGGAGCCATGTCCACCGCGCTCTTGCCGTGACAGTTGACCAAGGTGGGATCAGCTCCGTGACTAAGCAGCAAAGAGCAAACTTCTACGCGGTTCTTGGAGGCGGCCTCGTGGAGAGGGGTGAACTGCCAGAGATCCATTGCGTTGACACAAGCTCCGTGCTAACAACAGGGGAGAGGCTGCAGGTTTAGTGCGCAGTTAAGGGACACGCGTTCATTTCCCCTGCAAATGACAAGCCTGAAATACCTCCAGGAGAACAGTTAACACAATTACGACAACACAGGGAAGACAAAGTGAAAGCTCCGAGCGATGCGCAGACCAGCCACGAGAGCAATAATAAGGCGTGGTACTGATCCTCTCAACAGACAACAGGTTTTGGGCATGGTCAATGTGGGAATGTGTGTTGCTTGATTCTGCAATTTGTTACAAGGGTTTTCTTTTTCTTTTCTTTCTTTTTTTAACGGAGGGGAAGGGCAGCAGAAGAGAAAGATGAATAACTGAAAAAACAACAAACCAACCAAAAAACCCAACGCTATCAAAAGGCTTCCATTCCTTTACCCAGAGGTCTAAAAAGCACAAAATAACCTGAGGTTATGTATTAGAAGATACCATGATGGTTAGAACTTCAAAATATCTACCTAGTAAAAGTTTCTAGAGAAAATACATAGTATGTGCCATGTATTGTTTTTTTAAACCTTATTCAAGTCCTGCAGCTCTCAATTAAAACTATCAGGACAAATGAAGCAATCAGTTATAGCTCTCTTACCTTTAAAAGCAATTCGGTGACTTCATAATGTCCATATGAACAGGCGTTATGCAGAGGCACGAGCCCACTGAGTGAAGAAAGCAGATGACAAAAACAATTAAGAGACCAGAAAAAACTAGCAGGAATCTAAAACACAAACACAAACAATCTGATTTCAAAACACCGTGGCCCAGTCTGTTAAGGCAATGACATTTCACCAAACGAGGCCTTAACAATTTCATTCAAACCTGGAGCCCAGTGAGGTGCCCTTGGGTACCCCCAGTGCTGCTCCACACAATGCCTGGCACATAGTAAGAGCTTCCTTGCGGCTCACTTGATGCTGGCCCACAAGCCTGTGGGTGAGGGTCAACATAAGACCACTTGGTGCCTGTGCTGGGGAACTCCCTGTTTAGAGGCATGTCAGATGAGGCAGAGGGGATGGGATGGAGTCCGGATGACAGGCTGAGCCCAGTGAAATAACATGGAGATGGTACCCAGATAACACAGTATGCCCCCTATTTCGAGGCTCCACCTAGGAAGCCGTGCCCACAGCCTCCAGGGTGTAAGCCGTGGGTTCACATACCCTTTGTCTTTGGCGTGAACATCAGCCCCATGCTGAAGGAGAAGCTGAACTATCCGGACACGATTGTACCCTGCAGCCAGGTGTAAAGGAGTTGACTGAGAAAAGGAAAAACAAACAGGACGTTGTCTACCAGTAAGTAAATATTCAGGACTCTCCCTTCCCGTATCTACTTGCAGACATCAAACATGCTATAAGACTGTCAAGCTGCTGAGATATGAGGGTGCCCACAAGAAGATGCCAAGTTTTAAAAAGCATCTTAGGAGCCCTTCTTTCCTTTCTGATGGCGCTACCTGCTGCAGACAGGAAACCTCTCAGCCTTCCCTTCCCAAGCTGAGGCCATCTTCCATTCTTCATCTTAAATAAATACTCAGCCCTCAGCTCCACAGTGGGTGGTATACCTCCCTACGTCTAATTTTACACAATATGCAAGGTTGTCTTAAAAGCACAGCTTTATTTTCCTTTTAAATTATTTCTTTCTCTCAATTACATGTAAAAACAATTATTAATATTCATTTTTAAAAAAATCTTGAGTTCCCAAGTCTCTTCTTTACTCCCTCTCCCCCTCCTCATTGAGAAAGGCAAGCAATTTGATATAGATTATACACATGCAGTCATGCAAAACATAATTCCATGTTAGTCATGTTGTAAAAGAAAACAGACAAAAAAAAAAGAAAAATAAAGTAAAAAAAAATATGCTTAGATCTTCATTCAAATTCCATCAGTTCTTTGAGGGCGAATAGCATTTTTAATCATTAAATTCTCTGGAACTGTCTTGGATCATTGTATTGCTGCAATAGCCAAGTCATTCACAGTTGATCATCATATGCTATTGCTGTTACTGTGTACAATGTTCTCCTGGTTCCACTCATTTCACTTTGCATCAGTTCATGTAAGTCTTCCCATGTTTTTCTAAAAGCATCCCCTCATCATTTCTTACAGCACAGTAGTATTCCATCACAATTACATACAACAACCTGTTCTGCCATTCCCCACATGATGGAGAGCTCCTCAATTTCCAATTCTTTGCCACCACTAAAAGAGCTGCTATAAATATTTTCGTACACATAGGTCCTTTTCCTTTCTTTTTTAAAATCTCTTTGGGACACAAACCTAGTAATGGTATTGCTTGGTCAAAGGGCTATGAACGGTTTTACAGCTCTGTGGCCACAGTTCCAAATCACTCTACAGAATGGTTATATCAGTATACAACTGCCCCAACAGTGCAACAGCGTCTCAATGCTCCCACATCCCCTCCAACATTTGTCATCTTCCCCTTCTGTCATATTAGCCAATTTGATCTGTGTGGGGTGCTACCTCAGAGTTGTTTTAATAGTGATTTAGAGCATTTTTTCATATGACTATAGAGAACTTTGCTTACTTTGTCTGAAAACTGCCCATTCATTTCCTTTGACTGTTCATCAACTGAGGAATAGCTTTTTTTTAATGTAAATTTGACTCAGTTCTCTCTATATATTTGAGAAATGAGGTCTTTAAAAGAAAAACTTGCACAGCTTTATTTTCAATAATATCTGACTGCTCTGAAGAATGTTGGGGGGCTGCCAACTACGACTCTTTTGCACGTTGCAATGACCGGACCTCATCACATTAACTGAATGGTACAAGCTTACTTCCCTGTTGGAGGGGGGTTGTCATACTCCAGCTTCCCCAAGTGAATCGTCCTTATGGTCTGAGGAAAAACACCCTGACAGAGGCAGCATTTTTCTTGCTCTCCAGGAAGCTTTGCATGTGAGAGGGGGATCACTACTGCAGCAGGTCTCTGAAGGGACCATTTGGGGCAAGTTCTCGTGAGAATGGGTGGTAAACTGGGGAAAGTTCTCTGGAGTCACAACCAGGATCAAAGCACACTCGATTTTAAAGACCTGTGTGATTTGGGGCATGCTACTTACCCTCTCTGCCTGACTTTTCTCACCTATTAAATGAGGATGTCGGGCTGGGTCCTTTCAAACTCCAGATCTGTAACTTATGGATCGTTTCCGCTCAAGAATGAACCGGCTTACCATATCAAGTCTAAACCCCTCTGCTTGGCTTTCAAGATAAGGCAGCGAGACAGGGCAGTGAATAGAGCAGTGGGCCTGGAGTCGGGAGGACCTGAGTTTGAACCTGGCCTCAGATACTTAAAGGCTGTGTGACCCTGGGTAAATCACTCAACCTTTGCTTGCCTCAGTCTCCTCAAACGTAGAATGGGGCTAATAAGAGCACCAGCCTCCCAGGGCTTGTGAGATATCAAATGGGATATTTGTAAATTACTTTGCAAATTCTTAAAGCTATGGATTTCCTACTATCCTTCAATGAATCTTCTAGTTAGGGAATTAGGTCTTCTCGCTGTCCCCAAAATACAGTAGGTCTCTGAGCATGTTTTCTCTTCACCTAAAAGCCCTTCTATCTCCTGCTAAAACTGTATCCACTGCTCCAGTCCCATGGCCGGCATCAAGTCTTCCTTGACAACTTTCTCCTAGGACCTCCTCTTCACAACAAAGTACAGGAAACGTCACTCAGGGCTACAGCCACACCACCCTCAACATGCCTGGGGAGAGCTGGAAGGGAACATCAGATGCTACCGAAGAGAGGGGGTGGGGAGAGGAGGAAGACAGGGGTCCCGAAGAACTCAGTGCAGAGGACTGGGTGCTGATAATGTGGAGGATGACCTCCAGCACTGACCCTACTGAGGAGCTGACTGGCAAACTCTCAAAACCAATGCACTGTGTGGTACAGAAACACCACCATTCTTCAGTGCTGATGCATTTCTACGTCAACAGATTCAACACACGTAAAATAGGAAAAGGGAGTTTCTCTCCAAGCTAATCTCTGCCCATAGGAAAACTGGAATGTGGTGATTAAAGGGTTCGCTGCTTCAATCTAGCAGGATAATTAAAATGATCAAACCTCTCAATCCCTTCATAAAATCTGTCACAACACTTTTTTAATTAAGAGCTTCTGTGCGTCCACAGCAATCCGTTCACCTTGACTCATTCGCTTACACAGAGCTCAATCACTATAATAGCACTTCATAGATGGCACATTTCTGCTCATTGCTCAAGGTTCTTCCTTCCAGACTTCCCACCTCATGTTTTGGGCCCTGGTATGAATACAGTCTTTCAAAAATATATTTTCTTCAAACATCTAAGGTCAAAACATGAAAGAATGACAACACTGTACATAATAGTTTATAAAACAGCATTTCAAACACAGAATGGGAATCTCCCTCCTTTCCAGCCTAAGTTTACAACATAATTTTGAACAGCTCATACCTACTAAACAAATAGCCTGGGGAGATCATGGAGCAGCAGCAAACTAGGAAATTTTGCATTAATTCCCAGTCCCATTAGCAACTTCCAGTGAAGCTTTATGACATCTGCTTAATCTGGGGCTCAATTTCCTCAACCGTAGAACAAAGATAATATCACCAATTCTGTTTACCTCCCACACAGAACTGCGAAGATAAAACAAGATCCTATCTGTAGGCACAGTGAAAATGTGACCAGCATTCCATATCAACAAGGTCTTACCAACTTTACACCATGTATCTGTATGGGACAAGTGAAAGTTTCTCATGTAAGATGTAAGCTATGCTCCATAAATGTAGTAAGGCTTCAGCATGAGCTGGGCCCAAGTTTCACTTTTGTTTCTGGGGAAGGGGGTTGTGCATCAGCTGCCCAGCCCCCTCCCTTGTTTTGTAACCACACCCTCTTTTGTTTTGTACCTTAACTTTACCAAATAAGGCAATCCTCTAGCTCCCAAGTTAGTTTTGAGTAAAATGTATCTCTTGGGTTCTAAATCTAGACTGCAAGGTCTCTTGCCTCAGCCAATGAGGATGAAGAGATTGAGACAGACAGGTGGGGAGGGGGCTTTTTGGAGTGGTTTGTCTGCGACTAGGTATACTGCTTGCTGCTGTTTGTGCTTTGCCCCTCTACACCAGTCTGCCCTGGGTAGGAGAGGTCCAACTCTCGCCTGAGACCTGCTAGAATAAAACCTTCTGTTTTCTCCCTGGAGTTCCCTCTGAGTTTTTATTTGGGTAAGTGGTCTCTATTCTACTCATATCCAATGTGTAATCCATGCTGAGCTCTGTACTGAGTGTGCATATTGGTCCAATCTAGTCTTTGAAATAATCTACTTTCTTAAGAGCATAAGCAGCAGCATCTAGGACCTCTTTCCCCCCTGTGATACGAAATGCTCCAGTTTTCAGCCCTCAGCCAGTATGAGAGACAGAGCACTGGGCTGGGTGGTAAGAAGGCCTGAGTTGAAATCCTACCTTGCTAACTTACTGTCTGTGTGATTCTGGGAAGCCCATTTAATCCATGCATGCATCTGTTTGGAGGGGGCTTTAAGTGTGGGATGCTCTTATCTAAATGCCTCCTCCCCTCACTAGCTCGGGAGCTGATCATTACATGCAGGACATGGAAAATTTACAAAGCAGCTTGCCTCCCAGAACCCCTGCTGAGCCCCAAGTCAGCTATGTCATGAAGATGTCTGCCACACCGCACCACAATTTTGGGGCCACGGAGATCGAGCTACTGCTTATGTTTGAACAAAATCAATTATTACAAGATCAAATATGTGTATCCAGCAACTCCTTCAAAGGGGAGGTACAGAACCAGCTGTCAAGGAGGATAATCAATACAAACCTTCATTTTCTGTTTCTTCTTTCACTGAATACACAGTTTTTAAGCTAAATACTGAGAAATTACTGTTATTTATAGAGAGGAACAGGTCATAAGAGAGTGAAGAGCAAAAAATAGGAGTTGGCTTCTGTGGATTTCTGACATCTAAAATGATTCTGTAAGCTTTCTGAAAGGGAACCCCGAGGGGGCCTTCAGGTTTTCTATCCCCTTCCCCCACAAGAAGGCATTGCTGACCCACAGCCATCCCAAGTCTGTCATCCTGGATTCCAAGGACAAGCTGAGTCACCCGGCATCACAGCCCTCCTAGGACTCAGCAGAGAGAGATGCATACCCCAAAGGAATCCAGGCTGCATGGAGCAGAGCCGGGAAGAGAACCCAGGCAGAGACCCCCAGTTGGAATCTTGTTTCCTAGCCCAAGGAGTCATCTTTTCATAAGCACTCGGACTTACTTGCAG